CACCCCGCAGGGAATGATTGTTTCCCATTCCCACATTCGTTTTTGCAGTGGGAAAACTGAAGGGGGCAATATGGTGTTGAGCTCTGGATTAGTCGTAGCTCCAAGATCGCAGATGGAATTGTTTTTCACCCAGGCGAGTTCTTGGTTGCTTTTGCTGATCCCAGAATTTTGATTGTCAAGTACCGTGGCCAGCTTGGGGAATTTTGTTTTCTAGTAGCACATGCTCCCCACACAGCAGCTGATCCTCTAGAAAGGCAGCAGTGGTGGGAAGGCCTTCAGAAGCAACTTTCGACCAATGCTAGTGCTCTCGAATGTGTGGCCTTTATTGACGCAAATGCCACGGCTCCACGTGAAGTTACCACGAGTTTCGGGGGCTTCACACGAGATCATGCCAACAAGAATACTCCTTTTTTTGAGAACTTCGTGAGTCAGAATGGTCTTTTTGTGCCTTCAACCTTTGAGGATCTCCAGCATGGTCCCCCAGAGACTTGGACACACAGTGCCACTGGCAAGAAGTCTAGAATAGACTATGTCTTGTTGCCACTCTCTTGGAGATGGGCACAAATCCAAGCTTGGGTCGATGAGGGCATCCACGCAGGACATGCTGGATTAGACCATGACTGCACATGTTTGGGTATATCTTGGAACCAAATGACACATCACAGACCCAAAGAGAAAAGAATTGATGAAACTGCATTAAGGAATCCGGATAACCAAAGCATCGTCAGATCGATCTGGGCAACATGCCCGGAGCCAGAATGGGGCATGAACGCTTCACAGCACGCTGCATTGGTTACGGATCACCGACAGCAGGAAGCGCTCCGACATTTTCCGAAGAAAACAGGCAAACGACACCGAGAACATGTTTCAGAAGAAAGCCGTGAGCTTCATCGAAGACTGACTTGTATTCGTAGAGCTCTACGCACTTTGAAGAGACATGATGATTTCTCACTGTGCGTTGCCATTTTCCGAGCATGGAGTGCTTGTAAGAAAGGTAAAGGTTTCAATGGTAATTGGGGAACATGGAACAAATTGCTTTCGCTTGCTGTTGTGAGGCATGTCAGAGAGCTCAAGTGTGTCTCTCTGCAGTTTCGGAAGCAACTGAGGACTGACCGTAAGATGTTCCTTCTTGGTGTCGCCGAAGATGCAAAACGCGCCAAACCAAGTGAGGTATTTGCAGCCTTGCGACCGATCCTTCAGCCTGCGAAAAAACAAAAGATGTTTCCAAAACCCCTCCCTGTTTTGCAAGACGAGGATGGACACATCCTGCAAACATTGGAAGAAGTGAATGCTTGATGGGTCCGGCATTTCTCCCAACTCGAAGCAGGAAGAGAAGTCGATGTTTCAGATTATGTGAACAACATGCTTCGGAGGCAACAAGAATTGTGCAAGCCAGGTGAGTATAGACTGGAAGATTTGCCAAGTCGCATGGATCTGGAAAGAGCGATCCGGAAAATGAGCTATCGAAAGGCACCTGGACCGGACAGGTTAAGCATGTCCGGGGGACGCAGCAGGTGTGTTATATCCCATCGTCCTCAAAATGATTTGCAGATTGGAGGAACCATTGCAATGGAAAGGGGGACAGATCATTTCTCTCTTCAAAGGCAAAGGGTCGCAGTCTGACTGCCAAAACCACAGAGGAATCCTTTTGACCTCAGTGCTTGGCAAAGCTGTCAGATCCTCCATTCGAGATCGGCTTAATGAGCCCTATCTTGCTGCGACTGACGACCTCCAACTTGGAGGCAAGCCCACGCAGCAAGTTCTTTTCGGCACCCAGGTGTCCCGACTTTTCGTTGACCGGGGAAAGCGCAGACAGAAAAGCACAGCGATCCTTTTCTGCGACGTCCAGTCGGCCTATTACCGGGTCTTACGTCAAATCGCGACTGGGGCCAGACTAACGGATGAGGACCTCGCTTTGGTTTTGCACCGCATGGGTCTCGGTCCAGAGTCCATGTCACTCATCCATGAAAGCATAACCATATCAAGAACTTGGAGCTGGCCCAGTACAACACCAAGTTTTGCAAGAAACACTTGAAGGCACATACTTTACACACACTGGAAATGAGTTCGTGCAAACATTTCGAGGCACCCGGCCACGTTAGCGGACATAGTTTTCAATCTCGTTTTCTCACAGGTTCTCTCAGAAGTCCAGACAGAACTTGCAGATAATGGACTCCTTCTGCATGTTCCACTATGGGACACACGAGATCCCTATAGCAGTACTGCAACAGATCGTGCATTGCCCATGTTCCAAGTCACTTGGGCGGATGACTTAGCTATTCTAGCCGAGTTTGAACATGCTGCACAGATCGAAAACCGACTAGCACTAATTGCATATGTTCTGCTGCAGAAGCTGCCAAAATATGGCATGAAGGTGTCTATCGGTGAAACCAAAACAGCAGCAGTGGTTTCTCCCAGAGGACCAGGAGCGGTCTCCATGCGAAGGAGACTCTTTGCTGTAACAAATGCAACTTTCCCAATACTGCTAGAGGACACGACGGTTCGTTTGCCACTCGTGCCTAAGTATCGCCATCTTGGAGGGATTATTGATGCCAGTGGAAGCTTGCTTCCTGAGATCCGCACGAGATTCTCTAAGGCACGCTCAGCTTTCTGGAGAGCTGCCAAGCATGTCTTCAGACAGCAGAGCATCCCACTTGCAACACGAATGACCATTTTTCGCTCTACTGTGATGTCCATTATGACATGGGGCGCGGGAGCTTGGACCGAACTCAATCAGAGGGAAGGTCAGGCTTGGACTGCGTCACTCTGGAATCTATATGCAATGATGCTACCGCGTTCATTTCTGGCTCCTTCTCGCGTTCATTTCTGGCTCCTTCTCGGGATGACATTCGATGTTTCCTTGCATGTGAAGATCCAGATGACATGCTGCAGATTGCAAGGTTCAGATATTTTGGTGCATTGCTGCGTACAGCGCCTGATATTTTGTGGTCACTGGTTGCAGATGATTCTAGTGCAATGCATATGTACCGTGAATCACTCAAGTGGGCCCAGACTCTGCTTGACAGGGACTCCGTTGTACAGGATGTCTGTGATGGAACTGCATGGCAAAGATTAGCAGAGCAGCCCGCACAGTGGGCAAGACATGGTCGAACGGCCTTGTTCAGAGCAACGCAAGCGAAACTGCGGAATGCTGCAACGGCTAAGGCCCATAGGACCATTTTCGACATTCTCCGAAGTCAGGCACTTACCTTGTCGCTGGATCAACCCATGCAGGGTCAACATTTTTGTGTGATCTGTGAACGGGCTTTTTCTGCAACGCAGGGATGGTTTCTACATGCTCGTCAGAAACACAATTATGTGAGTGAATCCAGTGAGGCAGTACAGGGACAGACATGTCACTGCTGTGCAAAGGTTTATTTGTCGCAGGAGCGATTACGGCATCACCTTCGCTATAGTGCATCTTGTAGAGCCTTTTTCCAACAAAATCGAGACACACTTCCTGAATCTGCGAGCTCATGCTCAAGACATCCTCAGTTCCCCTGGTATCGGCTTCGGCAGGATACCTTCGCGGGACCCAGTCGGACTGATAGAGATGCTGAACGAGTTCGAGCTCTTCTTCAAGAAGCGATTCACACATTCATGTGTCCAGAACGGGAAGAAGACTTTGTGGATCAGCTGACTTCCACCTTACAAGAAGCATGTCGAGTGGCGGTGCCATTTACCACACTATGCAGTAGCCTTCACTCTTGGGTCTAGGGATTTGAGTCCACAGACACCAGGATTTACCAAGCTGGTTGTGCTGTCCACCGTTGGTTGCTTGACTTCGGACAAACAACTTGTGTGTCAAATACCCATGGACAAGAGGGAAGACTTGCAGATGAGGCTGACCGGCGTTCAGTCAAATGCAGACCCTCGGAGCCCAAGCTGCGAAGTTTTCTTCCGACTGAATTGATTATTTTACATCTGTTCAGTGGTCGTCGAAGAGAACGAGACATTCAGATGGAGTTGGAGCGTTTGCCGCTCCCTTCTGGAGTTGTGATGACTGTCGTATCAGTTGACGTCGCTATCGACCCTGCGCGATGCGACTTGTCTCAAGAACAGCAGCAAAAGTTGTGGTATGATCTGATCAGGGGAGGCTATGTAGCAGGGCTGTACGGTGGGCCGCCCTGTGAACCCTGGAGTATTGCACGCTGGGAAAGTCTTCCAGAACACCTACAACGAGGGCCACGACCGGTCAGATGTGACCCCTCTCTCTGGGGCCTAGATTCCTTATCTAAGTGTGAGGGCCAGCAAGTCTCAATAGGAAATATTTTGATGCTTTTTTGCCTGAGAGCTGTTTTGCTGCAGGCAACGGCTGGTGGTTTTTCTTGGTTAGAGCACCCCCGGAATCCTCATAAAAGTGGGACGCGGCACAAGAAAGCACCCTCCATTTGGATGACGCAGGTCATTAGATGGTTTCAGGAAACGAATCTTTTCGTTTTTTTCGATGTGCTGCAAGGGTATTTTGGCGCGGACAGCCCAAAACCAACCACTCTAATGCTGTCCGGGGTTGAGCTCGCCGAGGTGCAAAACTGCGAACAGACAATGCGCAGTGCCACCTGTGCTAAGGGTTCCAACATTGGTCTGAAAGATGGAAAGTGGCGTACTGGTCACCTTAAGGAATACCCACCTGAGTTTTGTTCCTTTGGGGCCCATCTTTTCAGACTCTGGTTGGACCGGCAGCCTATCAGGACCGAAGTGTTCACAGAGCCACTGGAATGGCTGCGAAGTCTTGTACTGGCATTTGAAGACCAGCGACTTCCTGAACCTGGTCCTGATTTCTTCCATGCAGGTAATTAACTAATTCACATCAGCAAGACGCTGAGCTTTACGAGCACGATGCGTCAATGGAAATGGAAAATGGAAAAAATGGGTATTTAGGAGTAACCATTCCGGAGTGGGTCTCCGGAGCTCGGATCGGTGCCCTTTTTCGGGTCCATCCATCACCTCGTGGCCAAGGGGGGAGACCGTTGGAGCGAGCTCCGCCTTTTGAGTGCCAGGACCCAGTGGATAGCATGGATCCAAAGCCGCGTGGATGAGAATGATGGATTGCCCCACATTTGTTGGGGCACAAACGGGTAGAGCTTAGGAGGAAGAAGCTGGTGTAAGTGTGTGACTGTGTGTCTTTTTCATTCTTTTCCTTTGCACATGCATCATATTAGGATGATACATGTACAGTGATGTGCATGTGCAAATCACCTGCGCCGGATGTCCGGATTTCGCTCCCGCGAGGAGGAAAACGCACGCCGCGTGCGACACGTTCGGACCCTTCCGCGAGGTCGGACACGTTGGCGTTCGACGTGAGGTATAAAGAGGATCTTCCTGCGGACCTGAAGCAGCAAGTCATAGAAGTGAAGGATAAGTTGCCAGACCAACTGGTCGATGTGTGCCCTGGACGGAAAGAGAGGATCGACAGTCGGTCTTCTTTCTTTTGGAGAGCGGGACGCGAAGATTTGTTCTGTTTGTTGAGCAGTCTGATTTGTCAGCTCTATGGAAGCGAGGGATCCGCCAGGTTGAAGAGCGCACTTGATTTCTGCATGGGATTCCAGCGGCTGTATACATAAAATTTTGATAAAACAATTTTTTGTGGATATAATTGACAATTGTTTAATTTTTTTTATTTCTATTTCTATTTTTATTGTTTGTTGTTTTGTAAATGTTTAAATAAACATTATTGTAATATTTTTCTATTAATAATTGGCTTGATGTTGGTATTAGTTTGTACATTCCATCGATTAATGAAACATTTACTACTTACACCTTTTTTTTGAATCTATTATTAAAATCGATATTGTTGATTAATATTGCTATTCATATACAACTTATATTATCATTATATGAACCATAATCCCAAATCTTTAAATTTAGTTGATTATTTAACCAGAACAAATTTATGAATGTATTAGCACGATGGCGCAGGATGGTGCACTTGATTCCAGCTGTGTTTTGATGTACCACCACCTATGACAACCCTCATCAACCCTCCCCAAAAGGCAGACGTACCGTGGCCTCCTCGACCCGGGTGGCGACGTGGTGCAGCCCGTACCGAGGCTGGGCACCTTCGGCGAGACGCGGCTCACCGAGACCTACATCGGCGTCGACTACGTGGGGTTGGCCCGGGGACAGGGTGGAGATGAGGTGATGAGACACAGAGACAGGTGTGATGAGGGGGTGCCCACCGAGGCGATGTCGCAGGAGGAAGCAGTGGAGAAGTTATGAAACACATGAAAAAGCTGACTGAGAACATAGAAGAACAGGACAAAAAATGTCAAGTCTACTCTGCAAATGCATGGTCCTTGTCCCTCAAATCCAGGTCTTCCAAGACATTCAGACTGGATCATGTTGTCAATCTCCAGTTCCGGATCAAGGGGAATCATGTCATGTTGGAAAGCATGATCAGAACCCGAACTCGTTCGGGCAACCTGGAGGCCTCTCTTAAACAGACGACCGTCGAGCCGTCGACGTGGCCGGCTTCGTTAAACACCAAGTCAGGCTCGAGCCTGCCTTGCTGGCCTGCCTTGAATCGCCTCACCTAGGAGATCTTGACGATCCTGCAATCGGTCAGAGAAACCCTAGAGATCAACGATGAGATCTTCGAGGACCGGATCGACTGACGGTACACCGACATAGTATCTCATATATCTCAGTACCTTTTTGGTACAGGGAAGGGCCTTCTTGGGCCAAGAATGAAGATATATGAATGGTAAACATATATACCAACACCACGGAAGAGGTTGTTATTGGATGGAATATACATAGTCAGGAGTGTTATACAGCACCCTTTCTGTGTGGGTGATGTAAACTCCACACAAGATTCCAAACATATTATGTATATATATATATATACATCATACATCTTTTGCTTTCGTAGAATGCCAAATAAGATGCAAAACAACAACGACCAGGAGATCGAAAAGCACCTCCCTCGAGATCTGCTGATGAAGCATTGGGCTGCCGTTCGGGGCTCCCGGCCGGAACCCGTTCGCAGCCGGGGAACCGGTCGAGTCCGGACTCGGCTCGAGCGGTCGAGTCCGTGGCCAAGGTCTATAAGCTTCTGCGCGACTGAGCGGTGGAGAATGACCTGATCTCGCGACTGAGCGGTGGACGTTGCAGTTGTCTTCCTCGAAGTCACCCGGAGACTCCGAATTTCTTCAGCTTAAAGGGATCGTAGACGTTTGCATTGGGCCGCGATGCAGTACTTTGCCAACACAGAACACATAGCTGAGATATGCTGAAATGCATGCTGAACTATGATGAACTACGCTGAAATGACTTCCATGCAAGTCGAAGATGAAGATATGCAAGTCGGTTCCATGTTCAGGTTTTTTGACGCATGCGTTCGATCTCATTTGACCACCGACGAAACATGTTCAGTTGTTTTCAGGGCACGGGACGAAACGAAACCAACTCCGCAGTGACTCGGGCTGCCTCTCCGAGTGACCCGACACCCCCCAACGCGACGCAACGTCGCCGCCCGTGTCACCGCGACGTCCGGGGTGGGGTACGGAAGTTCGACCGCACCCCGGACGTTCTCGGAATCCCATTCACCGGTGAGAAATACGGTGAGACAATGGCGAACAGTAGAGGAACAGTAGAGATGTTCTGCGCTTTTGAGAAGCAAAGACTTTGCGGTCAGAAGTCACATGGACAGAAGTCACATGGACAGAAGTCACGGGTCACATGTAATTCACGGTGTCTTTTTCTTCCACTCATACCTGATACATGGGGGGGTAGTAGTGGCTCGCTGCTCAGCCCGGTCGGTCGGATTCCTGATGCATCTGACATTGGCATCGGGACAGGGGATATAAAGGAAAACAGTATGGCTCTGGGCCCGGATATATACCTTGATTGACCTACCTTGGAGGTCAAGCTACCTGGTATTGGGTTTTGACCTGTGCCCAAAAATCATTTTACGGCCTCGTGTTTGCCTTTGTTGCGACAAACATGCATCCAAAGACTGAAGAAATCAGCTGGAGGTGGACGAAAGACGTGGTCGGCGAAGAAATTTGGAGGGTGAACCGATAGCTCCTTCATCGGGCGCAGATGTGTCAGGTAACACCGTATATATATATATATATGCGTTTTTTGGCTTTGTATGTTTATATGAGCCACGGTCAAAACATGCAAAGACCACCTTAGTAAAGAGGGGTAGGTTTGTGCACAAAGCCCTGCAAAACGATAAGGTCCAACTCAAAACTGATGACGTCCCTTTTTTAGTTGAATTCTAAGAATAATAAGGAGTTTTGACCGTCCCTCATGTGGCTTCATGCAGGGTAACACCATGTACTGTAACAGCCCTGCACCTCTATGAATAGACATATTCTCATCTCCCATGCCAAAAGCTTGCAGTACTGCTAGCATCACGCCAAGATGAGGCAAGTTTCGGGTGGCCAGATGCCGTCGTGAAGAGATCAAGTCCGAGCATCAAAGAGCATGAAATATCCTGAACCCAGGCGTGCCATGCGCGTCTCTACACACGGAGATACTGCGGTATCTGGTTGAGCCTGGCCAGCTCAATTGCTTTGCCCAGGAAGAAACCGAGCGGAAAAGCGGTCCTTCGTGAGAAAAGAGACCGTTTTTGCGCCGCCATTCTCTGCCGGGTGTTGCTAGACTTTTGGGTGGATTGGGGAGCGGGCGTCTACCCAACGGTTCACCGGTTGGCGAAGGCAGGGTCTGGACCGAAGGCGATTCACCATGTGTTGAAACTAAGTGTTTACAGATTTCGGGACCGAAGAAGTCCTCTTTAACAAGGCTGCTGTAACAAGTCCTCAGCACATGTCATGCTGAAATAATCCGTCTCCATTTGTCGACATAATAGATTGACCAGACCCATCTTTGGAGGCCCCAAAAGCAGATATAAGCAGATTTGCACTTCTCTAGGGATCCACTGCCACCTTCTCAGGAGGTACGACTGGGCCCTCCAAGCCGCAAGCCTACATAAATAGTCTCCGTCCTCACCGTGCTGAAGGTACGACTGGATCCCTACATCAACTTCAGTGTACCTTGAGGTACAATCAGTGCTCAGATGTTGAACAGTTCGGACTGGATCCCTACATCTACATCCCTTTCGTTGTACAGAACTTCCTTTTTATCAATTTGAAGCCTTTCGTGTAACTGCGGTTGACTGGACCTCCTCCGTGATGTACTTCCCACCGTCCGCGAGAGCGCGGAGCCGTCTTCGTCTCGTTCGGATGATTGGGGTGCGCGGAGCCGAAGTCTCTGTTTCTTTGGGATCTCATTGAAGATGGCCGCCACTGGTGATATTTCCGCCTCCGAACTCATGGCAGACAGATTCAGATCCCTTGGGGAATCCGACTGGTGACGACTTCGGTCATAGCAGTTCCCCCCAAAAAGTCAGACCGAAGTGGTTGTTGGGAACGCAGAGTCTGCTCGCCACGTGGGTTCAAGCGCACTGCATCGCACTGCATCGCACTGCATCGTCTGCGACGGCGAGAAGGATCGTTCAGCTCGACGTGCGAACGCCATGGCTGAAGTCGAAGTGATGAACCCAGTCGAAGTGCTGAGCTATTGGCTTCATCATTGACATGCAATTGGACAAGGAAGTGTCGAAGCCATGGACCCATGTTGCACCGGTATTGATCATGAATGACATGTAGTTACTTTCTCTTACTGTTCTTTGGATGACTAATTAATTAGTGAAGGACACCCCAGGACTTTCAATTCTTTCGGGAGGGAAGCTCCGAGCCTGCCCCTCAGGCCAAGCTGGCTGAGTTGGAGAAGCGCTTGGCTGCTTTGGAAGGTGAGGGGAACGAGTTTGATTTCTCAGAGATGGAACTGATTTGAGGTGATCTCAGAATTCCGTTTCAGGCTGAACTCCGTTGGAAGGTATTCATTCCTACTAGTAACAAAGGGCATCGCTACTAGGAGCAAGGACGCTACTAGTAGCTCCTGGCATTACTACTAGTAACAAGAAGCTTTTCGGTTGAAAATCAATCACTCTTCCATTCAGACAGACCGATGACTGTTGGGACCCAGAACAGCCGACGGAGAACAGCAGGCTGCGCTGAAGAAAAGATGGTACCCAGAACAGTTCCACCTAGTATAATATAGAGTTGGTAGTAGTTCTACAACATCCTTGAATTATTTAATGTGTCCAAAAATCGACCTAGTATAGTATAGAGTTGGTAGTAGTTCTATATCATCATTGAGATATTCAATGTGCAAAAAAATCGACCTAGTATACTGTATATAGTATAGAGTTGGTAATAGTTCTATAACATCCTTGAATTAATCATAGTGCCCAAAAATCCAGCTATACCACCAGGTGATGATGGTGCTGGTGCCCCACGCAAGGCGGGAAGTGATGCACAGATCATGAAGAAGGCCCGGGGGACAGGGGCAGCTGGATTCGGGAAGAACCTGATTTTGTTCTCAAACTGTCCAGAAAGCAGATCCAAGAGTCAAACAACACTTTGAGTTTGCTTTGTTCTTCTAGTATTTCGCAACAACATGCAACCTCCTCGTGATCTCTTTAAGGTTTCGTTTTTTCCAAGCCTGCGTAAAGCATCCCCAAGACATCTTAACACCCTGAAAATACATGATCCACATCCCTCTTTTCCTTCCTTCGTTCCAGATCCGTTCGTAGCTTCTTGTTACAGCAAGAATGCGGACCTTGGAACCTTTCACTCCGACCCGTCGCCTGCGTGGCACGGCTCCAGGTGGCCACCCGGCTCCAGGACTTCGAGTCTCAGATCACTGCGCAGCTCTCGAACCTGCAGACCGACTTCGCCCGGGGGCCCCGGTAGATCGCGCGCGGCGGTCGTGGCGGTTTGGAAGATCTTCTTTCGAAATCGAAACACCAGAAGTGGCCGTGACCTGGAAACTGAAGTGACCTGGATTGAACCTGATTGACCATCCAGTGATCCCAAAAAACAAAAACCTCCCATTGGGATCTGAAGTACACATCGATGATAGATTGTCTATAACGATATTATTGAATCTTTGTTACACTGGTGGCTTTCCTGGGTTTTTCATTGTTTTTTTATGTCTTTTTTTCAATGAATTCCTCAATGAATCGTTGATTTCCCCCCTAAGCCGAGCGTCTTCTTCCGGCCTTTCAGGACAAGAAGCTGAGCCACGTGAACCGCGGCGCCAGCTCGACGAAGCCGGTGGACGGCGCCGGCGGGGCGGCCGGGCTGGACACCATGGCCGAGGCGGCACGGCCGGGCACGGCGTGTCGCGCCGCCGGGGGTTTGGTTGGTCGAACGAAATGGGTTGGGTGGGGTTTTGGGCCCTATAGGCCCTAGGGGTTTGTTGGGTAGGAGGATTTCAGGTCATCCCCAGGTCGAACGAAATAGGTTGGTGTTGGGTTGGGTTTTGGGCCCCTGACAGGGTTGAAATAAAATAGTCCGTGACCTGTAGAGTCGGGTGCTGGTGTGTGATGGTTTGTGGTTTCAGTGGTTTGTTTGCTGAATGGAAGGATCCAGGTGCTTCTCTGGGAGGGAACATGGAGAGTCGGGTGCAGGATTTCAGTGAGGTCAACCCCAAAAAGGTGAGCACAATCTCTCTGTCTCTCTATCATCTCTATATGTCTATAATATATATGTATATATCATCTCTATCATCTCTATCGATCTATATATATAATATGTATAATGTCCTTTCAGAAAAACTGGTATCACGACTCCTTCGGGTTCGATCCTGGACTTGAAACCCGGATTGCGAAAGGGGTTTCGTTCCAGAGTTGAGCGAGCGAGCGAGCTCGAGAGTCGTACGGAGGAACGAGCCGCGGATCGAGCCGCTTCAGGACTTGGATCAATTGAAGTACGACGTGGGCGAACTGAAGGATCTCCTGGGCCTGGCGGCACAGACGGCGCGCGCGTGCTCTGCGGTCCTCTCGCCGTGCCGTTGGCGTTGGTGGGAGGGCGTGTGTGTGGTGTCCAGAGTGGTGTTTTCCAAGACGAGGTTGAGGTGCAAGACCTTGGTCTGGTGACGAAGAGGACCTAGACCTTGGGGGTGTCCCATGACCTGCAACTAGTCGGTAAACAATTGATATAGAGAAAGGCCTGCAACCTGAGCATCATCGTCCACTGTTGCTGGGATTTACCATACTACCCAGTAACCAACGCAGATCCTTTTAGGCCTAGTAGCAAGAAGCTACTCTTGCTATCGCCAGTAGTAGCTTCTTGCTCCTAGTAGTTAGTAATGCCCTATAGCTACTAATAGCGTCCTTGTTACTAGTAGCAATGCCAGGAGCTACTAGTAGCTTCGATACCCTCATGACTCAGGGCCCCTCAGGGCTCGATGGATCAAGGATGATCAAGGCGAGCCCCTCGTGCTCATGGCCGCGTTGCGCGCGCGAGCGCCACGGCAGAGCGAGCCCCTCGCGCGAACTTCTCTCCACCAAGGCAACAACAAGGGCGAAGTGAACCACATCCGTCGTATTGTCCTTGCCTGTGAACGTGACATGGAGGAGATGTTGGGGGGGGTTTGCTTAGCCATTTCGGGCAGCTGGTGGGGTAGTATCAACATATCCTTCAAACACAAGAAGCAATCTAACAATTTCCTGAGGTACGATTTAAGTTTTTCTCACATCACATTTTTAGCCAGCTTCTTCAAAGTGACCATTTAAAGGTTGCTAAATGACCCTTAGGAGGCTTAAGTGACTGAACCAACCAGTGACCTCAAACCAGGTTATCAAGTTCGGTCACTTTGAAGAACCAGGAGAGTATGTTCCGTCTTTCGTTCTACCATGTGGAAAACCGTCCCCCACCACTGGAGTTCCCACGACTTATCAGTCCTTGCGGCAACGCGGACCAGGACTTCACTGCGGCCATGGATGCTGTGAATGTGGACCTGGACGAAATGCGCGTGACTGGGATCGCGGCAACAAGCGCGTTTGACGCACGCACACCGTGGTTCTTGTTGGGGACTGAATTGGATGGTCCCGGTTTTCTCGACCAAAGGTACTATCGTGCGGCAAATCGTTTCGATGTACCATCACTCTTTGATGCACAGAACATACACAGAATCTTTGTCGGAGCAGCAGTTCTTTGAGCCCCAAAGTCAATCTATATGTGGTCCACAATGACTTCGGATAGAACATTTGGAACCCATCTTCCTTCAGTTCATGAGCTGTCTTGGTTGTCAACTTCTTCCGAGGCCCGTGTCGATGCCACTCACTCCATCATCACCAGCCGCCAACGCGTGGAGGTCGTGGTTTGAACGAATAGAAACGCAAGGAACGCGGATGCAGTGCCGATCGCTCGCCATGTCGAGAGCTCAGAATACATTTAGATAAAGGATCCTAGGAATCCTAAGTCCCAAGTTCATGTCGTTTCTTCGTTGGAATCCGTATCATTAATTACGAATATGCATGTATTTATGAAATCCATCATGTACCTTGAGTCTCCAATGACCCTTTTAAAATTGCCTTTCCAAGAAAAGAGGCGTCTTTAAGCGTCCGTGCCGGAAAAAAAACAAAACAAAAACGCAGAAAAAAAAGGTCTTTGGAGACTCAAGGTATACATTATATAAGTATTATAGAGTTCATTCACAACACGAGGAGCCGAACGAGCCATGCGACGATTTCTCTTTCGGTCACACCGTTCGATGGACCGGCATCTTTCGGCCCAGAAAGGCAGGTCGTCACCGGTCCGTCGTCGCAGGCCACGATGACCGCGGAGATCTCCACGATGCGCCTGGACATCGGCGACATCCAGGCGCCGGAGGGAGGGTGAAGAGGCAGAGTGGTGGAGGTGAGGGGAAAAAGGAGACTATTGAACTAAGTAACAAGGGCCCATGCGGGTGGGGGTTGCTGGGAGGGTTGTGAAAAGGAGGGTGGAAGGAGGGTGGAAAAGCATGGAAAAGCCTGAAAGAATCATGAAAGAATCACCTCAGGTGCTACAGTATGCTACAGTGGCTGCTACAGTATGCTAACAGTATCCAATGGATTTGCTCCCACGGCTTTTGGCAACGGACCTTTTCCGCGCCGTGGCGAGCTTCGCCAGAGATCGTGGCGTCAAGCGCCTCTCGATTTGTTGAAGCGGCCCATGGGCGTGAAGATCTTCCCTGAGGGTCAAAGACTACACTCCCCAAAACTAACATAGACCCTGACAATGGCCCCCTGGAAGGGTGTTTTCCTCTACCAACCAGTGGTTTTCAGGGTCCATGTGAGTCTTCCAGGGTGTATTTTTAAAGTCAGTGGTCTGACTACTTAGGTGACCCGAGTCTAGGACTATCCTGAAGACTTCAGCCGGTCAACATGTCGAACTGGACTCAACGACCGGGGTCAGAACCATCGATCTGGACTTCAGCCGTTCAACTCGACATGTTTCGACCGCTGGCGGAGGCCGGACGTCTTCTTCGTACCGGGCGAAACCGCTCGCTGTCTCGTCCGGATGATGAAACACCGGACTCTTTCTCGCGGGTTACGTCCGGTCGTAGTACCTTCACGCCAGGAAGCGTTGAAGAACCACGACTCTTGGATGGAGGATGTGTCCAACACTTTGCAGCAGATGCAAGAGAAGGAGGAGAACCTCACCGAGGACCGTTCCCTCCGCGTCGAAGTGGAAGACGCAGCAGTCGTGTCGTACGTGCCGCGGATACCGGACGAAGCAGACGGCCGTGGCAGACGGAGGAAGGGATCGGGTTGAAGGTTCTACGGCTGGGTGAACCACTTACGGTTCATCCGAACGCAGAGGACATCATCAACTTGAAGAATGAGATGAACACCAAGCTCGACACCAAGGCAAGTGAGGGCATAGATGGGCCAGCAGCCATCATGCTGAAGATGATTGATGTTCTTATGTAGGCAGAGTCAGTCCCAGTAATCTTCTTTTTCAGTTTCTTTCAGTATCCTCCAGTTGCACATTTTGAAGATGGGCCGGACGCCAGGTGGACAACGTGGCATGGAAGGAAGCCAATGACGACTTGGATGCTGCCATCAAAACGGTGCGGCGACCCTGCAGACGGTGGTCGCTGTTGCCGTCACCAGGGTTTGAGTTGGAAGTAGTATCGGTCATCGTCTGGCTGTGGCTTCCAACATCGGACTCCTCAGGCAGACCCTTGCCAGTTGGGCTAAATAGATGCAGCATGATGGAACACATGTCGCTTCCATCCGAACGATGTGCAACACAGGTTTCTCTTCTCCTCTTTGACCCAGTCTGAGAATGGATCATTTGGGGGATGGACAAATCAGAGATCTTCCACGTCGCACACTTCACCTGCAACAGCCAACACCATTCCGAAGCCATCTTCGCCTTAGACCCGAACGGAGCGTCGTTCGGGCGATCCACGTCCCCGTCCGCGGCGTCTCACACGTCCTCCGCCGAGGTCCGTGACATGGTCTCCTCCTTGCGCCTCGACGTGGATGCTCGGCGACGCAAGGCGAGGAGCGAAGAGTCCAGGTCCAGTCCAGCCATTGGGCGAACGAACGCGCGCGGCGTCTGCGGGAGTCGAGGTGGAACACGGGCAGCTGCTTTGATGAAACTGAAACACTGCAGATTTGGCTCCAGATGGTTCCGGTTCCATATCCCATACGGTTATATGCACGGTATTACCATGCATGTATGTATGTATGTATAATGTTCCACAAAATGGCTCCCATAATGTGTCTTTAAAAACACACACACATAATTTTTAGTTTGTCTTTGTTGTTCTTCCACATCAATTTCAATGAGCTTCACTTCGTACGTACACGAAGTAGACCGAAACACGGTGCAACCTTGGATCCAGCACCGTCCAAGCACCGACCTTGGCACAGGTGGATGAGATCCTGGCCACCGTTCGCCACGACATCACGGCAGTGGAAACCAACTTGGAGGAGTCGCCACGACGTTTTGTCGGCTTCTTTTCTTCTTTTTTTTCCCAAACGCGAAGGAAAAGAACAGATGTGAGATGCCGAAACCGGTCTTGAGAATCTGATTCGGAATAGAGTTTGCGTCCACCATTACCGTTAAAAGTTAAAGGCTTACTTCTGTTTCTTTATGTCTTTCCCTTTATTTTAATGGTAATTTGTACCTTAGGGATCCGTCAAAAGGATCAGATGGTTTGAAAATCACCGAGTCTTGAGAATAGAATAGGACTTGAGATGGTTGCCTCATGAAGGCTTAAGGTTGCCTGCTTCGCTCTCTGAAAGGTCCGAAATGGTCCGGCCAAACCGGTCGTTTGTTTTAGTTTCCCGATGTTTTTGGGTCTGAGTATGTTTATCAACTGCTGTCACCTTCTTTTTCACCAATCAAACAACGCGTGGATTTGCATGGATTTGCCTCTTTTTTTTCCTTTTAGATAACTCTTTTCGATCTGCCCGGTGCGAGATCTAGGGTCTCGGCAGACCCACGGCGTGGTTTCGACTCTCGCCGCTCGGCTCCGCGCGAGTCGCGAGAGACGCACGCAGGAGTCCAAGGCGAAGATCACCAGCGACACGGACCAAGCGGTCAACGCGCTGAACGGCCGCATCGACTTCACCAACAAGGACTTGGCCGCCACACAGGAGAGCCTTCACACCACGCAGAACTCCCTGAGTGATTGCTTCAACGAGGTGCGGAGGTCCTTTGTGCGGAAGAGGGAGGTGAGAAAGTGAAGAAGGGCATGTTGAAAGGCTTAAGCAGATGCTTTGGAGACACTTTTGACCTTCTTAAGCTGTTTTGAGGAAGGTGTTTCAAACTTGAAACCAATTTTCTTTGTCCCTCTGATGTGTGAAGACAGACGTGATCCGAGTGAAGTCTCAATGCGGATGTTCCATCGATCGTCTTTCAACTTCTGCAACAGCACTGGTATCCCAAACACATGCTTATTCTTTTTCTTTAACCATGATTTTTGTTGGACGTTTGTTTTCGCGGATGGCGCGGTCACCACGTGTGCACCTTTCTGTGAAGGAAGTGTTCGCTCGCTGCTGTCGCGCCATCGCCAGGTGGCGGTGGTGCGCAGTGACTTGGAACGTAATGTGGCGGACACCGAAGCGCGCCTCAAGAACGACATCCGCCAGAAGCAGTCGGGACACCCTGCTCCACGTCCGATTCGGATCTGAGGGGGGGGAACCTGTGATGTTAAACGCCTTGAGGAACGCCGTGAACGCCTCATGAGCGTTGCGAACATTTCATTGGGCAAATCAAGGTCGACCTGAAGCCAAGAACATCAATATGGGACATTCAGACGGACTCCTAGATTCAGGTCCATCAGTCCATCATGTTTTTGGCCACCTTGTTTTTTTGGGGGAAACAGATCTCAACGGATGGATCCCACGAGGCCTGTCATCATCGCCTGTCTCGGTATCCCCACCGGTCGATGTGTTGCACAGTCAGCTGGAATCTGCGGGTGAAATGGGCATAACAATCGATGAACTGAACATCATGTAAACTCCTGATCAATAAACCGCCCATATGAACAGGATTTTCCATTCAAATGGGGGGGGGTAATTAAGAGTCTACATTATGTGAGTTCACACCTGAGGCAGGAGGCCTTCGAGAAGATTGGAGCTGTGGAGCAACAGGAGCAGCTCCGTCATTTGCGCGATCGCGGAGTGAAACCGAAGAAGATGGTGGATCTGAAGAAAACGAGTCGCGACTGATGTGGATCTATATCCCAGACACGACGTGTCTGGGACTGCCATAGGACTGCCGATCAGTTGGGGTGGTGCCAGCGGGGTCTGGCTGGGGCGGCAGTCCAAACTGGCAGTCCCAGACAGGTCTGAACTGACAGACTGGTGAAATCGGAGACTTGGTCCAAGACTGGAGTGGATCTCCAATGATCAAGAAATCAAGAGAGGCGAGTCCGATCAGGTAGACTTGGATTTCCCGTGAAGCCGTGTGGAGGCATGTGTGTTGTCCTTTATTCAGAGCTCCTCGGTTTCAAAAGAGAGAGAGAGATCACCCCCCTCCCAGAGCCTTCTCTCATGTTCAGCCTTCACCGCCTACACCTTCAGCCTCCCACCTTTTCACCCCGCATACCCGCACGCCGACTCCAGGCGGAGCTGCGCAGCGCCGAAGCCTCGCGCCGCTTGGGGGCGCTGGACTTGCCCCAGCCCTCAATGGGACTGGTGGACGGGTGGCAGGGCAGGGTGGAATGGCTCAGGTGGCAGACTTTGGATGGGTTGGATTGGTTGACATGCATTTTTCCGCATCCAAGCGGCAGATTGGCTTGGCTTGTGTGTTCGGTATCCAAGCGGTGTGAAGTGAAAAGCATGAAAGAACATGTTTCATGCATGTCAAAGCAATGCAGTTGTTTGGTTGTTTCACGAATTATATAGGGTGGTTCACGCACTATATAGTGGTTGCCAAATAGATAGAAAGGGTGTCCAGTACATTTTTTGTAGGGGATCTGCTTTTCTATCTATATATTCATATTTGGGACCAGGGTGACCAGAGCCCGCGCCCTCCATCAAGGCGCATGAGCGGCGTCCAGGGAGGTCTTGGTGAGCACAAGCGTGCGACTGGGACTGCACTGACTGGTCATGGGATGGAAAACAGCAACGGCCTCCAACTGGGAAAAGAGGAAAACAGCTTGAAAGCTTTGACCTACCCAGGAGTTTAGTGGATAACCTGCAGGTCACCGTTTGATGGAATTGGTTTTCCACCCCGCCATGTTTCACAAGGGTACAGGTGAACAGTTCGGGTTAACCGGGAAACTGAGGGAGTCAGGGGACCTGCGACTGGACATGCGACCGCTACTTGGCTCTTCGGTCTTCGGTCTTCGGCTGCGACGCCTTGATGACCCAAACAACTGCGGCCAACCCCCGGCAGTGGTGAAACGAGAAAGCTGCCGGGAAGCGCTTGAGCGGGCTTCTGCTCCCTTCACCGGACCTTCTCAGGACATCCTGAAGCTCCGTGAGGAGGTGAATGGTCTGACGGTGAAGAGCGCTTCCCACGAGGCGTGCGTTTGTGACCGCGACGGTGGGTGGTTTTTTTAGGAGCGACATGTGGAGATGTGGAGAAAAGGAGATTATATGTTTCTTGGTTCTAGAAACATCAAAAGGCACGTTTGGTTTGAAGTATAGGTTTAATTAGTTTATTGTTGAATCATTTGGATATAAATACATAAATCAATTGGTGTAGAACAAGTATAGAGCTCCCAGCAAGTGGCTTCGCCTTTTCGGTGAAATCCTGTTTGCTAGTACTTATTGACCATTATTGACCTTTCTTAGAATTTGTTCATTCTCATTTCGTTAGACAATAATGGTCAATAACAATACTTAATTGACCATGATTGAACCCTTGGGTCAATTCTGCTCGACATCTTCGTTCTTCAGAATCACTCTTCCCTCCCATCGGCGTTCCTTCGCTTCGTCGGTTCGGTTCAGGTTGACATCCAAAAGAACAGCGATGCCACTCGCAAGATGGACCGACCGACCGATGTCGCCGACCGATGTCGCCGATGCCCGTTGTCGTGTGACCCGGTGCGACCCGCCGATGTCACCGAGCGTCTTTTGGGGCGATCGCACGGACGGTGGAGGCTGAAGAATGAGAGCGGCAGTTCGGAGGTCTTTTGGATGTGGGTTCGATCACGGTGGAGAACGTGGAGCTCCAAGTTCTTGGAAGGTCAGGCATGTATAGACACAGATCGAGGCATGTAGACATATTCGTGAAGACTTCACTTCGCCAGCGCGCAGCAGTTGCACATACACACAGCTATCCAATGGAGCCAGGAGAAGCAGCGCAACATGGACGAGCAAAACTGGAAGGCACAGATGGATGCGGTCCATGACGTCCTGGACACCAAGGTGCCAATCGGTGCAGACGTCCTGCCATCCTGCCATAGGTGATTTGTCGCGTCTTCTTTTTCATTGTTTCTTGTACGTTGTTGCAAAGACAAGAAACGGAACGCAGGCAACTTGAGTAGAGTCATAGCAGCAGAAAAAAGCAGCGAACATGAGACACATTTGAGACACAACACTATATAGATGAATTGGAAGATTTCTGAAGGCCAAAACGTTCGCCGCAATGGCGCCATGGCGCTGCTTTTGGGTCCCTGCACACCCCCCACCGGAAGCCGTTCCCGATCCGGAGCCGTGGAGCTCGGTTCGAGGTCAACGAGAAGCCCTTCGAAGACTTGAAGCATTGCACGGCAGCGGTGACACGTGTCCGGGCATCCCAGGGAGGTTAAGGGATGGACTCAAGGGATACAGCCATGCCGGATGCCATAGATATTTCTTTTTACACATTTGGTAGAAAATAGAGAGAGAATAGTTGTCGCCCAATTTAGTACTGTACTGTACCCCAGAAATGTCCGAATAGTTGTCGCCACGGCGAGCATCGTCCTATCGACGAGAACTCTAGTCACTAGAAAGCTTCAAAGACATACTACTAGAAAGCTTTATCGTTACTAGTAGCGATGGCCTCCAACCTAATAGCTTCTTGCCACTATAGTAGTAAGGGCCTCCAACCTACTAGCGATGGCCTCTATGTCTATCCTTTGCACTTCTTGGCACTTCTTCTACTTGTGCTTCTGACCATGCGGCATGAATTGACAGGAATTTTCACGGGTGTTTGACACACCGATTTCAAATCAAGATCGGCAAGAGATCAACACGTCGGATATGAACATTGCTCTCTTTCCTTGCTTTTTGGGTTGAAACGGTCGCATGGGTCGCATGGATGCCGCTCGGAGCCCGGAGCCCGTCTTGTCGCCGGGGACCTCTTCCGCCGTGCTCCGAATCGGTCCTTCACGGAGCGGAGGGACCTCGGCCTCGGCCTCAGGGTGTGGTGAAGTTCGCGCAGGTGGTCGGTGTCTTCCCTGGACCTAAGTTTGATGATGCAGAAGGCTTGGAGGACGGTTGGAGGAGAAGTGAAGAACTGGCCACAGGCTATTGGTTTAACCATGTTTAACTCCCTGTGACCCTGTCTATGAACACCCTCCAAAACTAGAAACACCCTCCACAAAGATGAACCTTCACAGGATTCTACCTTGGCACTTTCAACCCACTTTGTCCATCTTTGTCACCTCCAACACCTCAATTCACTCCTCCGCCTACTAGCTTTACTAGATCTTACAGCAGCTCAGAATTATCTCCATGTCACGAGCCTTCAATCCGGACAACTCGACCCATCTCAGCGAAGCATCTCCCTGCCGGCTTGCTCGGCCCTTCTGGACCTGGTGCCCCTCGGCAGGTGCCGACCAGGGCGAAGCAGACGTGGAGCTCCTGGGATGGGAGGACCGGACCGGACGTCATGGACCCTCCGGCACGGGTAGTGTTCGTCACGTCGTGGCCGGTGGTCGAATGCCTTTTGGGTAGCCGTGCTCGGACCTGGGTGTCGGTGTCCGTCCTGGTGTCCGTCCAGTCCATCTGGGTGTGAAAACCCCCAACGCTTAAGGCCTCCAGCGGACGAGGAATGACGACGAGTTTCACCGGGCACACGGGAGGAAGAAGACGTGGACGGGGTGAGGTCTGGTGAGGTCTGGTGCTTGGAGAATTGGGAGAATCGGATTCATGACTCGATGCATTTCCCAGACACGACGGGACTGCCAGTTTGGACTGCTGCCCCGACCCCTCAAACCACCCCAACGGATCGGCAGTCCTATGGCAGTCCCATTAGTCGTGTCTGGGTTTTTGGGGGAAGAGGGATTTCTTTTGGTGGAAACAGTGACATCCCTTCCCGCCGCGTGGACTGAAGTGGACTGAAGATGAACACAAGCATGCTGTATCACAACGAGGTTGTAGAGACATTCCTTATAGAATTGTCATCCCTATAGATATAAGTAGTTCTCAAGCATAGAGTCTATCTATAGACCAGTTCATCTCCTCCTGGAACTGTGTGAAGTCAAGCGTTTCGGTCGGAGCGACCGGAACCCGTCCAGGAGTGCGCCGAGAACCTGTCCTTCCGCGTGGACAAAGCCTGGCGCCAGCGGTGCTCCCAGCGCTTCCGGAACATCCTGGACATGGTGGCCAAGAAGGTGCGGAAGCAGTGCGGAAGCGCTGTGCCGCTGTGCCTGGTGCATGGCTGGACGGTTTGGGGTCCAACCTGCCAACTGCCAAAATGGACGGTTTTCGGTTCGATTGGGTTGGAAGGTGTCAGTCTGATTTAGCCTTTTTGGAGGTGGTCGGTCTATTTAGATTCTATTGGGACTATCTTTCGTTTACGGACAGATAAACAATGGTGCTTTCTAAAAGGTGCACAGCTTCCAGAAACGAACGTGTGATTGGCCGTCGCTCTTTATTCTGATTGAGCCATCGTTTGGCCTCATCCATGCGCTGGTGTACTGCTCATCCTGCTCTCCTCCTGTCGTCATCATCAGCAATTCGGAGTCCGCTGGTGGCTGGAGGCAGGTCCTCGTTCTCCTTCTTCTCCCGTCTCATTCTTTTCCCTTTCTGCTGCTTCTTCCATTTTCCCTTCTTCTTCCTCTTCTCCTTCTCCATTCTCCTTCTGTTCTCTTCTCCTTCTGCTTCTGCTTCTTCTTCTTCGTCTCTCTTCCTTCTCCGCGGTTCGCATCATTCAGGGTTACGGCACAACTGAGAGGTTGCCGAACCTTTCCCTTTTGCTGTGGTTTGGCCGAAGTCCCTCTACTTTCTATTTACGACACATCCGTGTTTTTGGGAGGGGAATTCTTTAACGAGGCAGGATCAATGAAGATGAGCCACAGGATTTATCATTTGCTTCTGATCTTGAGAAAAACATGCCAGTTATGAGATATGTGGCATGTTGATCATCCCCACCAACATGGTGATTTTCTGCCTTTCCTGCCATTTGCCGCGAGGCTGATCACAGTGTCTTGCGCCTCCTGCAAATCTCGCAACAGCAACTTGGCCCAACTGCGTGAACTTGATCCGTCTCCAGATCTTTTTTGCCCAAATACCTAAATGTAGTTGGGCACAAATGGTTGCCTAACGAGGGTCTAGGTTCTTTTAGCCGTTTGTGGTCCATTTCAGACTTTTCCCCTGGAGCTCCTAGAAGCGACTGACTTCAAACCCCAAAACGCACGGTGCCCTGAAACTCCATCGCGCGCCGTTCGAACCGAAAGAGGAACGCGAATTTCGACGCGAATTGCGACGCCAGGCACATTGAGTCGCAATTGGAACGCGTGAAGCACGAGCGTGAGCTGTGGTTCGGGGGCCCAGACACCGACCGAGTTCAGCGGACTTCAGAAAGGGCGGGCGGGCTCGCCGGGCGACCGAAGGGCGCGGGGTCGGTCGCAGGGTCGCTGGTGTGGATGCCGTGGGATGTGGCGGGCTGCGCAGCAAAGGAATCAATAGGAATTTGGGGGAACAGATTCAGTGAGAAGATGTTGGTTTTGCTCTGGGCCCATGCCGACCTCTCATTATCCCCTTTTCATCTCGCTGATGACGTTTCATGCCTATTGTGGGATTTGGGTTTCGCCCAGCGACCGCAGTGATGACGTTCGCCTTTTGGTCAGGAAGGAGGTGGTGGAGCGCCGTCAGCAGCAGCCAAAGACTCAGACTCGACCGGCTGCGCAGTGGCAAAGACTCCTGGCAAAGACTCCTTGCGGTTGGACATCAACTCGCGACACGGGAATCTTAGGGACATACATGTTGGCCGCAAGCAGAACAAGATCCCCCCGCCCGGAGGAGTCTGAAGTGAGGGTGCCGAATCCTTGGAGTCGGAGAGAACCAGCTTCAACTCGTTCACCAACAGCCTGCATGAGCCTTCTATATACCTTCCCTGCAATAAACATGAAAGTGGACAACCCCCTGTTTGTAGAGGAAAGTGGCCTTTCCAAGGGCCATTGTCCACTTCCATGATTGTTGAGAGGGTAGACAGAGAAAGTAGGATGTCCATTCTGAGCTAACCTTTGAGCTAAACTAAGATCCATTCTGACAGAAGTCGCTCGGATCGCCTCTTAGAGGAACGGTCCGAAGAGGCCACAACCGCGAAGTCCTGCCGTTCCCCAAGGCCCTTGCAGCTGGCCCTCTCCATGAAGGAGCAAACCACCTCATGAGGACTGACCGCCGACGGATCGAGCCACGCGTGTGTCAACGGACGCCGAGACGTCTCGGACGGAAGAACGCGATCGACGTCCAGCGCCCCGGAAAGCGAGCCGTGTTTGGCACGTGCCTGGAGTTTTCTTTGGGAATGCAAAGATGACGAACAAGCATCGAAGAAGGACATGCAAATGCGGAGAACATGGAAGGATATGGAGGACATGTATTGTTTAATGCAAAGGACTCAGGGGTGCAGGGCCCATGAGAAATCCCCATGGTACCAAGGATTCATCCATCTTCATCCCAACATCTCCGAGCAATTTTTGTTCGCTTTCGGGTTTGAGGCTATTGCTCGCAGGTTAGAGGCCATCGCTAGTACGTAGGTTGCAGGCCATCGCCACTCGGCTGCGGGTCCAGGCGCATGACGCCCCGACCTTCCGGGCTCTTTCGGGCGTTAGGCGTTCCCCGGGGTTCCTTCCGAGCGAAGTCGGTTTGGAAGGAACCGACACTTGTTCGACACAAGTGGAGAATTGGCCAAGATGCAAGAGGCGTTCAGACAGGATCCATGCATGTCAGTGAGAGGAACTGACTGAGCGATACAAACGGTATGTCTACTTACCATGCAAATCAGAGTGCTTAGCAGATCCACCGGTTCAACATCACCTTCTTCAGCATGCGAAAAAAATCCGCATCCGCTTCAAGTCACAGCATCGTTTTTTCCGCTGAAGCAACATGCGCGGAAGAGAACTTATCTCGTCGTCTTTAGGATCCTTTCGGCGGAAGAGATGGACGGCTGCAAGATGCGGTTGTCCTCTGCGCCCAGCAGAGCCCAGCAGAGCCCAGCAGAGCCCAGAGCCTGATGTTGCACTGCTGCCAGGTCCAAGGGGTTGAATAAGGTCGAACTCTTAGGTGACGTGGAGATGAGAGGCCTAATTAGAAGGTCCTATAGAAGGTATAGAGTCGCTGACCTGTTTTGTTCTCCGGTGACATGCGATGTGAACGAGGCATCTTTAAAGAACTTCAGTTGCTTCATGCTACTCAGTGCTTGGGCGCGTGGGGATGGTCTCAGGTTCTTTTGTTTGTGTTAGCACCCTAAAACCACTCATCCTCATTCGGTGAAGGTGGCAGCAGCGCCACTGCTGTCCAGAACCCCTCTGTGAATACCCCATAAATATCGACATCGATCTAAATGTCCAGAGTCCATAAATCATCCGCCTTTCTGCCTCATCCTTCCTCTGGTTTCCTTTGTATCCTTCATTTGTGACCACCCTAGCCTATACAAGACTTGAAGTGGGAAGCTGCATAGCTGCGTCCACCCGTGGAAGACGTGGAACTCCAAGCTGTTTTCAGCCGTCACTTCAATCCGTGGAAGGCGTGAGAATAGAAATGCTATAGTGGCATTCGCAGCTTCTTGTTCCCAGTAGTACGGCCAGGAGCGCCCCCTTTTGTAGCATCCTTGCTACTAGTAGCCCTTTGCTACTAGTTGTAGTAGCGATGGCCTCCAACCTACAGGCGATGGCCTCCACCCTACTAGCTTAAAGTCATCTACACACACAAAGTGAAATCAGGATGGACGCATGGCATTTCGCCAGACTGAAGATCCAGCATTCACCTTGGACCTGGCATTTGACCTTCCGAATTCCGTCACTGGGGGCCTCAGAGCTTACTGGCACTGAGGTGACTGGATGTTCACTGTGATCCAAGACCTTTTGGATGAATCCAATCCCCGGGTTGCACAGCTGCAGATCGACGCGTTGCCACCAAGAGTCTCGCGAAAAAGACATGTCACATGAGACACAACTCGTGGCACGACTCTGCGTGAGTGCGGTCATGGTCATCATAGGGTGAGACACATGTTTCACAGAGTTCAGCCTCACAAACACATGGGATGGGATTTCCGGGAAGCAAAGAAGAACACATTCAGGAGGTGGCAGAAGGACGCTTTACGTCCACTTCCGCCCATTCCCTCGGCCGTTCCGCCCATTCCCTCGGCTCCCTCAGCACGGGTGCCATGGCTGCGTTGGCACTTGAGGCGCGGGCCTTACCGAATGTCGGTGGAAAAAGAGACCCATCCTTTCTGGACATGTGAGTTTTCACCACACTTGGAGTGATCTTCGGCAAAAACAGAACACTTTATCCAGGACTTTTCCTTTTTTTCTCCCCTTTTTTCCTCTTTGTCGTTCGGCCTCCACGCGGCTTTTTGTGCTTTCGTCTCATCTTCCGTCTCTCACGACGACCCGTGGACTGGGCGAACGGCGGCGAACGGACGCTTCGCCACGCGGACCCGACTCGGGGCGAACGTCGAGGGCGCGATCACGCATGCGCTGGCCGTGCTCGCCCTGCTGATCCTTTGGCTTTGTTCCTTGGGTGCGCTCTTTGTGGGGTGGGAGACGATGACAAAGACAGCCCATTTTGTTGAGTGTGTTGTAAAAGGTAAGGAAGAAACCTCAAAAGACAGCCATGCTTGGTTTGGAATTCAGGCCTTCTTGTCACGCTTGCAAGTCTCAGACCAAAAACATGTGGTATTGGGTACGCAGAAAGAACATGTAGCAGAAAGAACGTGTAGCCGAACTCCTAGTTATCATGTAGACTCTTGATTATATTTCACCCCCCATATGAAGAGGATTTCTCTAAGAAATACACCTAGAAGTCTGAGCCAAAATGGTTGAAGCACTCCAAACCAATTGGTGGGTAGAAATGGGAGGGTTTATTCATCAAGCGGATCCTCACCCCCTAGCGAGTCGAGGCTGGTCCTGGCGAAGACATGCCAAGGACCGCAGCGTGGAGCTCGATCCAAACGGACGAATCGCGTTCCGGGCGGAGAAAGCATGTTTTTGGGTCTCAGATTTTGATGAGTAAGAGGATGTCATACAAAACTTGAGGTTTTCAATACCAAAAGGTGCTCCAAGTTCCTCTTAGATGAGTTCAGTAAGAGAGGTTTCTTTCAGCACCTTTTCGATCTGTTTGCCATGTCGTTTTGAACCCAAGCTGTCCGAGGCGATTCAACGAAAGTCAGAGCCCCAACAAGCAGTACAGTGGTATCAGCAAGACGAGCTGGGAAGTGAGTCGGACATGGCTCACGGACGAACGCGAAAGCGCACCTGGCGCCCCGTTCTTCTCCCTTTGTCGCTACGCAGCGACACCGGTGTCGATGACGGTCAACCGACATGAGCGAAGAATCATGGCCCCGGTGTCGACACTGGTTCACTGGTTCGCACGACCCGGCGCACAAGATCGACCATCCCAAACCCCCAATGCCGGCGTTCCCTTCGCCGACACCGGCACGTTTCCGGCGGACGTTTGGAGCCCTCAGGCTGAGCTGCGGCAGCGGGAGCTCCGACAGGAGGTGTGCCAACTGCAGGTGAGGTCGAACAAAAGGCGTCGCTTCATTTGTTTGGGAAGGAGAGAGGAGAGCATGTCCAATGGGTGAACATGGGCAATGTGTTTTTGTTTGAATTAATTTTCCTTTGTTCTTTGGTTGTTTGCAACAATATGATTATCGTGACGCAAGAAGTTTGTTTATTTTATGGACTCATGTTCAAACTGGAATGAAGCGGGGCACACCATGGATTCATGATCACTTCACTTCAGATCCTCCTTTCCTTCGTACATCGACCGCGACACCCCGCGACAGTTCCGCATCGGTCGGCGAAAGCGCAGGACATCGGCGCCTCTCCGGGTTCTCGGTCGACGTTGCTAGGCGCGAGTGCAGCACTTGGAGCAGGAGCTCCAGGACTCCCAGCGGCGAGCGGTGGAGGCCGAGGCGGGCGGTGGAGATGGTGGGAGGCCGATGCCCGGACTCCGGACCTGCTCCGGGAAGAACAGCACAGGGGACCAATTACTGGAGGGAGGAGCATTTCGTGTCTGCCTCAAGTTGAGAGAAGTTGGTGTTGAATCGAACAGATGAATACTACTTAGTAGTAGCTTGTTACTAGTAGCGATGGCCTCCAACCTACTTGCGATGGCCTCCACCGAGCATAGCGTCCTATCTGTTCCTCCGAACTGATTATGAACTTCAGACTCTGAACATCGCACAACATCAACCAATCCAACCAATCTGCAGACACTCGATTCCTCCAGTGTGATCCACCAGACCCTCGGACCAACCGTGCTCCTCTACGCGCTCATCCACACGTCCGGCGGCTGCCGATCGGTGCCGGCGCCGCCGACGCCGAGACGGGACGGGACGGGTTGGAGGCCAAGTGGGTGGCTGAGAAGGATCTCCAACGACTCAAGGAGCGGACCGAGGCCAACGACGGGAGGGGGGGAAGGGTGACGTGGTTGGGACCGTGGCAGGGGGGGGAACGGTAGATGGACGGAGCGGTTGGGGAAAGTGGGGAGTGTTCATGTTGTTTTGGAGGTTGGGGTTGGAGGTTGAAGGATGTGGGTTGAAGTTCTATAAGATCTTTTTTACTCTACATAGAAGTCATGAACCGTCAGCAGTCGTCAGACGACTGCAGGCTTTTCTGGTTGACCTGATCCAGTTTGGTCATCGACTTAGTCGAACACCATGTCGAACGCAGGTACACACACCATGTCTTGTCCCCCGGGGCCAGGGGTGTCCAATTATAGCTCCTACTTGAGGTGAGTCGGGACGTCCATGGCCCCCACCCCTGGCCTCACACCGACCGTTCTTCAAGGCCTCACCCAGTAGCCGGCAGCCGTGTGGAGCACGTGCCCACACAAAACTCCGGTGAGTGAGGTCAAAAACGATGTAAGTGAGGTCAAGTGCGTAAGCTCATTGTATATAGGTCATTATATATAATATATATATGTTGTGGTGTGGAGAAAGTTGGTCCGTATCTGTGGTCCGTCTGCGCGGATGTGGCGTGTCCGCACTGGTTTTTGGCCCCCCATGGCGACGATGGGCGCGGAAGCGCGTCCATGTGAGTCGCGTAAGGGCGGCGCGTGCGTCAACCACACCTCCTTTCGACCCCCTTCGCTCCTAAGATCGGTTTTACGAGCCTTTCCGCTAGTCGTGCGTGGAGAGGATGCGCACGGGACAGCCACTGTCGGACCGGACGGCAGGTCTTTTGTTCCTCTCGAGCCACCTCCAGGTGTCTCATGTCATCTGCCATGGTTTCCCTTCCATTCAGCTGAGCCCTGTGCCAAGCAGCTCCAGGTGCCACAAGAGCTGGAGCGGGTTCATGAGCTTCCTCCAGTCGAGCAAACTGTGACCGAGGACCTGCAACAGACCGCTCCGTTTGACGTCATTTGTGGGAGAATGGTCAACCATCGAAAAATAGAGAACCCTTGGATGAAAGAATGAGAGTTTGAAGCCGAAGGAAAGTGTTCCAGCACAATGTTGAGTAACATTGACAGATGCATGAATATGCGAATATGCATGATGATAACTTAATTTCACTTTTGCAAGTCTGACTTTGTTCGGTCGTTTCTTCTCACAGCCACGTTCTCCGTTCTCCGATAACCCGTCGAGGAGGTGAGCTTGCAAGCCCTAGAGAAGGCGAAAGAGCTCATGTGTCAAAACCTGGAGATGAAGGCGCCATCGATGACATGGAGAGGGAGAGAAAGAGAAAGTGGGAGAGTGAACACATCAGAACGGAGTTTGCTAAACGCAGAAAAGCAAAGGGCCCTCCAACTCTGTACTCTGAAAGCCTGAAAACTGTCCACTGGAATGCTGAGAGTTTCAGTGTGGAGGGAGAGTGCTATGCACACAGCCAGACTACTTGCTCACAGGCGCTACCTTGACCCATATCAGGATCCACATAGAATCCGTGAAAAGCTTGTCTCAAAACCGTGAGACACACAGATGCCCCTGAAACGCTATATCTTTGTACATGCCAAACAACCCCAGACCAAGCTTGGCCTTACGTCTTGACCTCCTTCAATCCTGCCAGGCCAGGATACAAGCGTTAGAACAAGAGCTGCGATGGTCAACAAGGCAGGGGAGAAAGGATGGGAATCAAATAGAATGCCCTGCTGCTACGACCTTAGCTTTCACGACAACCCCCTTTTCGACTCGTCCTCGGACTGCGACGAGTCGCTCCAGGCCACGGAGCCGCGGACCGCCCGGTGGGGAGCCGAAGCGGGGAGAAGGCGGTGAAGTGGGCGTTGAAAGGGTAAGAAGGGCGAGGCCCATGCGGACCTAGCTGCGCTTTGTGGAATCTTCTCCATGCCATGGCAAACTGCCATGGCGTCGGCGTTCGCCTGCAGTATCTGTGCCAGTTGTATGGGGAACATGCTGTTAAAAATAAAGCATTTCTGACATGAGTCACCACGTCATCTTGTCTATCTTGTTTGAAGCAGACAACTGGTTTTTCTAGCGAACCACCGAACCACAAGACGACAGCCTGGACCCGTCGTACGGCCCGTGGTCGGCACCGGTACACCGGTTTCGCTCGCCGTGCCGAGCCGTGCCGACCCCTCCGTGCAGCGTGCGACGACGTCCTTGGGCCGTGCGGCTAAGACGTCCTGACCAAGTCAGCTCCACCCGACGCCCAAGCGGCCACGAGATCTACTGACTGGTGCGACGAAAGCAGGGAATGAGGGTGGCTGGATCCAATAGAATCTCTATTGGGGGCGAAACTTCCCTTATTCCCTACGTACTAAGCACCAGTCAGTCTATTTTGATAGGCCATTTTGCACAGACCATCCCTCCCTCCACCAGAGCTGCATTATGGAGGGCATATTTCCGTGGGATATTTTTTGGGGGTGGGATACTTCTTTTTCTTTTAAGGGCTCTGGAAGGAAGGAAGGAAGGAAGGAAGAGGAAGGAAGGAAGGAAGGCAGGCAGGCAGGCAGGCAGGAAGGAAGGAAGGAAGGAAGGAAGCCAGGTTTTTTGGGTTTGAGTCTTCTGATTCTGTTGCTTTAGACAGTTTCTCATTAGGTCTACTGGGTTTTTACGTGCTCTATTGGGTTTTTGAGCTAAGTGATCCCTCTACGTGCTGGTGGAGTAACTTAAATATAGAAATTGCACTTCAAAGGCTTTGCTGCACATCGAAGCAAAACGCTCCGATCTGACCCTGGGCCTCCCGCGAACAGTCGACTTCAAACCAGCTATGAACCGTGGAAGACCCACAAAGGTGGATGCTATGGGCCACCAGCACGTAGAGGGATCACTTAGCTCAAAAACCCAATAATAGAGCACGTAAAAACCCAGTAGACCTAATGAGAAACTGTCCAAAGCAACAGAATCAGAAGACTCACCCCCCCCAAAAAAAAATCCGACTAAAAATAAAAAATATATCCCGCTAAAAACCTGCAGCCCTGCATTATCCAAGGTGCGGACATCAAGATGAATGGTACACAGGCGGACCTGGCCATAGCTGGTGGCGCATGTGAGGTTTCTCACATGGAGCAGATGCATGATGATGCACGACATTTGGTCATGGTTCATTCATGGTTCATCTCAAAAAGACACGTGGTGGTTTTTGGATGTTTTTGGTCGTGTTTCCATCTATCCTTGCTCACCCAGTCGAGCTTTCCAAAATCATGTACAGCTTCGAGCGAATCTTTTTGGGGTTTTGCAGCTGTCAGCCCACCCATCCTGCCCACCTACATGGCATCTACAGAATCATACAGAATCTGTAGACGATTGTAGACGCATTGCACCACCAGTCATCTTTCCTTGTTCTCAACATCGCCACCCGTCCTACGGTCAAAACCGCCGTTTTCGGCTCAAAACGACCTCGAGGCCCAGGCCACGACCGCCGACCGTTCAACGGGTTTGTTCAACGGTGGCACACGACCACCGCTTGGAGTTCGGAGCTTCACGCCAAAGGGACCGATGACGGAGGGAACCATGGCCACTCGATTTCCCACGCTCTTGGATCGGCGATCCTTGAGCCCTCTCAGCAGGGTTCCGACGGAGGAGGAAGCTGAAGGGATTTGAAATCATTGCCATAAAAAGTCAGGTGGAAAAATAAGGACTTAAGTTCGAGCTGGCTGCTTGTGCTAGATGCGAGTTGATGAGGTTGTACTGGCAAGCCACATCTTTGGTCCGGATTCGCCAGGACGTGGCGCCCAACTTGCGCGACAAGAGCGTGGAGAGGAAGATTTCAGGCCAGATAATATCGTCGAAGGTTGCAAATCGAAGGTTCCGTGTCGACATGGAAGGTGTTTCGAAAGAAACATGCACACACTGCAAGCTGCACACTGCAAGCTGCTGAAGGGGAAATCCGATTGAATCCAATTGACGTTATGCCTTATACCTCTTGTACCAGAGATCTTCCATTCTCTGCAAAATCCAGCCATTTCCGCTGCAAGAAAAATCCAACCTGATGCCTCTAGTAGAGATGCCTTCTTCGCTTTGGATTGATTTTGACTCGTAGCACTGCCTTCTCAGGACGGAATGAATGGAGCCGGGCAGACGCCTTGCACGCCGTGCGAGGTGCCGGTGTCACAGCCGGTGCGAGCCGCAGTCCCCGTGTCTTCCCGAAGGAAGCTGCTCTTGCCTTGCAAGCAGAAACTTAGATGAGAGTCGTGTAACACCAGGCATGAAGCTTCAGTTTCCAAAGCAGAGCATATTATGAGCATGTGAGCATACACTGGCATACACATAATAGTATATCATATATGAGCATCAGTATAATATGAGTATCAGGACATCATGATCTATGACTTCGATTTTTCTGGGCCAAAGCCATGACCCGTGACCCAATGGGCCCCCAATATCTACCAGCTCTTCTCACCTTCTCAGTCGTACCGAGACCTGTCACGGCCCGACCACTGACCCGGCAGCAACCACTCGAGTTTGGAGCGCAACAACGGCACGGACCAGACGTGGGGACCATGTGGGACCCAAGGACATATTGCAACGGTTGATTTTGTGACGGATTTAGTTCGGAAAATCCATAGCCGTTGGCACGGTCTCAGATGTATGTAAATCCGTCGGTAAATCTTTCACCCATTGCAATTCGGTTGATTTGGTCGGAACATGAAGCAACCCAGCATCCAGAAACCCGTGTGTGGACATCTGAACCGCTTCAAGCAGACCGACGACCGAAGAGACCATTTCGCATCCGCGAAGCAGCGAGCGCAGATCGGACCACCAGGCACCCGACCTCCCGAAGGAACCGAACCGCAACGACGGAGGGTCGGCGAGGGCGAGTCCCGCGAGACGTGAGAGGGTCGATGGGGCGAGGTGCAAGATCGGGAAACACCCTAAGGATTTGATGATGGCCTTCAACACCCCAAGCTTTCAACGTCAGCTGCACGAGATCAGCCGACAGTTCGAGAAGCAGAGCCCTTCCTTCAAGAAAGCCTTCCTGAAGCTGGTGAGGACGCCATTCGCCTGCGAACAGCGCGACGCGGTTCGCGTCGACGCCGGAAAGTGGAGATGGCCGTTTTCAACGTTTTCGCCCGCTTTCGACGGATAGATGTAATACATACCTGTTGGGTGGATCGTTTCGCTCGCGGGGTTTCCGGTGGCTCCTTCGGCTCCTTCTGCTCCGGTGTCCGTGCATTTGTGCTTCAGATGTAATGTTGACTCTTAATTAATCAACCCCCCTCCTCCCCCCAACAATTGGGGCCTCTATAATAATATGCTAGAAAACCAATCAATTGATAAATAAATAAGGAATCCTTAGCGAGCTACCTCTGGAGCTACTCTGGCAATACTAACAATGAAAGGAATCATTACTTAGCTATCTCTGGCAATACTAAAATGAAAGGAATCATTACTTAGCTATCTCTGGCAATATTAAAAATAAAAGGGAATCAATGAAATCTCAAATTGAAAACATTTGGAATACTAAAGTAAAAGGAAAGCAATAAAGTGGAAATGGAATTCTCAATATTCTAATGGAAATCTCAATCCAAAGACCTTGAAAAGCATCCAATCTCAATGGAAATCTTCAACTTTTCAAGAGCTTAGGTAAGTAAAGCAAAGCAAAAGGAAAAGAAAGGGACTGAATACAAGTTTACTTAAAGCAATATATTTTTTAAGCTTGAAATCTCTAGAATAATGTCAGAAAGCTGCTTGCTGGACTACCCCCTTTGCTTGAATGATTTTTTTTTTTTGATTTTCAATATTTTCGAATAAGGGATTTTGTAAAGAAAATGTGCACTGACTTTTGGTAACTTTTGGAAAGCTTAAAGACTAAAGAGCTTAGGTAAGTAAAGCAAATCAAAAGGAAAAGAAAGGGAATTAATACAAGTGTACTTAAAGCAAAATATGTTTTAAGCTTGAAACCCCAGCAAACTGAAAAGGGAACAAGTAAACTATATAACAATAAAACATATTCCACTACAACTATCCCTCCAAAAAAAAGACATTATTCTGGGGGCCTTTATTAATCAGTGCAGGAAAGAAAAAGTCATTATTCTGGGGGTGTTTACTAATCAGAGGTCAACATTATGTCGACCCCATGCACCTGCCTGATCAGGAACAGTTGAAAACAGAGTTTGCTATGTCCAGCTGCAGAAGAAAGTGGTTTTCAGTGCTAAAGAACGGCTGTTCCAAAACTAGCTTATAGAACTTAGAGCTTAGAACAGCTAAAATAAGATATCTTTTAAAGACATTTTAAGACATATCTAGACGTAACATGTTGGTCGGCTTAAGACATATCCGTGTCGTGCCATGCAGGAGTGTTCAATGGGAGATCCTGCCGGACTATGGCTTTGAGCAGTCCGAGGAAGGTATTGAAGCGATGCTTTGGGCATTCAAGAAGTTGAAAGATGATGCCTGGCATAACGTCTTCGGCATGTCTCGGTCGTCGAAAGCACGGTGAAAAGGCCGGTGAAAGGACTCGACTCTTCTTTCATCTAACCGGAGCAACTGGATTTGTTTCTTTTGCCAAGTAGGATCCCTATAGGGTGCCCCTTGGGTGTCCGACGGCCCGACAGCTGGAGATCTAGTCCAGCCAGGATACCCAGGTTTTCTCGGAGGGTCCTGGTTTTCTCGCTTTGCAAGTTGGAACCGCCCAGGACCAGGACATCCAAGTGAACACCGCAGCCATCAACGACCTGCTGACGCCTGTGACCGAAGATGAAGAGAAGGAGAAGGAAGGGCTGCCGGCGGTGGTGCAAAAACCCAGCACCAAGTTCCGAGTCTTAGATCTTCTGCAGCTCATGCTCAAGGAGAGGTGTGAGAGACTGTGAGAAGGGCAAATGGCGGAAGGAGAGACGAACGTGAAACAGATGGAACCAGTATGAGGGACGGACGAAGGAATCAACTGGTGCATTGCACCAGAGAGTGCCAAGAGCAACTCGCGCTGAAACACAGCGGGATGGAACGCGTCGTTTCGATGGCACACCTCGGTGTGGCCGTGCAGGAGTTCGGGAAGGCTTCCTTTCAGCGAGACATCAAGGAGCTGAAGCTTGCTGCAAACTACAACTCCAGGAGTGAAGATTGGCAAGGGAGACACCCTTGCTGCGTGTGAGCCAGACAGTTCGTACAGATGACTCGACACTTTACGGGTGTTCCTGGGAGATGTTGTTCATGCAAACAATAGCAAAAACACTGTGTTTTGCAGTGATTGTTGGCTAAAACATCACCAAAACCTAGGGTTTCAGCTATTTTTAGATCAATTTTGTGAGGGCCAGGCCTGTAACAGTTTAGAGGGGATACATTGTGTTTTACAATGATT